TGCACTATCTTGACAAAGTTATGTGGTAGCTGGCAGTGAAATGTCAAGGACATGTGTTTTGAACCATTTTGATCTTGTCAATTAAGTGAACCAAGCACACACCAGAGCTCGAACCAATTACCTGTCGAGTCTTGGTGTAAATATAAACACTGAAAGAAAATATATTTAATTGATGATTTTCAAATAGATTCAAATAGATTTCAAGTAGATTCTACTACTAGCCATTATTCGACTTTACTAAGACTCGTAGCTACATGGTTGTAATCCTACGCTATGATTTATAAAGAATATATCTACAATTTAATTAAGCATTTGTTTTGTCATCAAAATGCAACCAGTGCTAAATGAAACTGACAGAGTGATGATGATAAATTCATTTAGTAGAAATAAAGGCTGATATTGCCTGCATTCTAAGAAATATATATTTCTAACAGTGAGATCCTAAAAGCAATTCTTAGGTTCAGAGAATATCTTATTAAAGTTCTGTTAATTAAATACTAATTATATAGATTTTACGTAAGAAAACCAATGTTAAAAATTTAATTTAGTTAACATTGGTTTCTTTTGGGAAGATTTAAAACGAGTTTGGAAACTGAAAGTTCGTGGAATTTGGGTAACACATTTAGGACCAGAAACTTGATTAATATGACTTGTATTGTAGTGAGCAGAACACGGGTGGGGACAATTAAATTGTATGTAGCACAAAATTACAGAGTTACTTGCAAAAATAGAAAAACATTATCGTAAATCGTTAGTTTGCAAAATATTAATCCATCATATCAAACCGGACTGTTCCTGTTGCAATCATCAATCCATTGTCTCACATTTCATTCTTCATGCGTTTTCTTACAAATTGCATTGTGTTTCCGCTCTTTTTTTCTTGATCTTCCTCCATCTTCTGCTGCTAGATATTACGTTTTCAACTCGCGTCATATACTACTTACATCAATATAAGTAGCACGCACCACAGTATCAGTGTAGAAAAAGAAATACTTAAAGTTATCTAACAATGTAGTAAAAGCTCTAGTAGACAAAAATGATTGTAGTCGAGAGAAAATCATAGATTACTGGAAAATTTTAACGGACCGTTCTGTATGAATATCTTAGTCTGACAACATTAAACTTTTGTATTTAAAAATTTGTGTATAATCAATAAGTTTTTTCAAGAGTCTGAACTTTACTTGATTAAAAATTGGATGAACAAGCTTTGCTAAGTAAATATTATAATGAGGAATTTTTGGTTATTTACAGTCAGGTACAAGAATCTATTACTACTATAGGAGAAAGGAAGGTCTTGAGGATTGTCGGATTTTATTGTTTACATCGTGAACTGATCTTACGTGTATATCTATTAAAAATCAGGAAATTCTGGACAGTCGCTTATTCTTAGTATGGAATTACTCGTCATTAAGTATCCAGGAGCCAATCAGGAATCGACAAATACAGGACTTTCAGGATTCATTTTCGACCCCTAACCTGTAGACCACTAAGTTTAAATCCAATGGTTGACATTTCTGACTCTAATCATATTGTGATACTGCTTAGTGAAATTGACATTTAGTTATTAGTTCATTATTGAGGATGAGGGAGGGGAAGTTTTCCATCCTTGTTTGTTATTCATAATAAAGTCACTTAATACTTTCAAGAAATAATCTTGACAATCAAACCCATAACGTCATGGCATTCAGTGAGTACTGTATTGTCTTCAGTATGATTTTCATTCTACTACAATACTTGAAATCACTGACAACCACTTAACTGTCAATGTGTTTTTTGTTATGGTCATTTTATGCAAGGTTACCTCAATGAGAATATTCACTAATATAAGTGTTGAAAATTATCGAGCGTTGACTAATTGATGATAATTTGTTGCATGAACTATCCGTCATTTGTTTTTATATGAATTTTCTTTTACGATTTACAATGTACATGCTGGTGCTTTTATTTGAACAATATAAATCTAAATTGTTCAATGAAATGAGTTTAATAATAAATCTAGCCAACTTACTGATAAGCTTAATTCAAATGTGGCTAAATATTTCATAAATTCGAGTGTATCATTTGCATGTACACTGATCTATTTATTTCTACTTTAACTATTCACTCTATTTATGAGGTTGTAGTGTCAGTTATTATGGCAAGCCCATATGCCTTTATTCTAACTTCCGGACATCCTATTTCATTCATTTCACTTGAGCCATATTTTGACCTTGTCAATTATTCGCTTGTCAGTCTTGACTGTTTTTTTATATGAGCGTATATGTGTGTACATTTCATGTCCCATGATTCATCATATGTCTGTAGCTTATTTTGTCCGCCTATAAATACTGAGTAACGCTTAATTAAAAGGGAGTTGGCTTCCCAGCCATCTTCCCTGTGCGTCATTTTGCTTGTCTCTGTTTCATTCACTTCATATGCAAAATATATGTATTCAAATGCCATTCTCGTTAATTGACTTATTTAATTCCGTTATGGACTAACGCGATCTAAGTCGACGATGATAAACGAGAATAGGTGATAACAAACATTCATACAATCTAAATGGAGTCAGATCACCGGGCCACTAAAGTGGTGAGCCCGACGTGATATTGACAAAATAGTGAAATATGCGAAATATATGTTCTGTTGAGCCGCAGCAGAATAAATCGCATTGACTAGTGATGAGTGAATTCGAATTTAAATGCGTAGTTCCCGTTCGTAGGATGATAATAGTTAAGTCGTGAAATGATATCTGAATCGACGGGTGATATTCGTTGCTCCACTGCAATTGATAATAATCATAAAATATGAAGTCAGTGAACGTTGTCGTCTGCGTTATGACAGATGCATCGAGTTATCGTTGAATATGTATTAGTAGAATGACCAGAGGAACAGAATAGTGACTGAGTAGACGAGGTACATAGAGTCGTATTCCTTTTTGGTCATGAAGCCTAGAGTGGTTTGTGTGGTTTGGGGGAGATGCGCTCGATCTCGTTTGTTACAAAACCGTACCAAGGCATGACAAAAATACCAATACATATGGTTAGCGATGGCGACGTATGAGACTGACTTGGATGTGACGAACAAGAGTGTATCTTTGAGAGGCTAGCTCTAAACTCTATGTTCTGATATACCGAGCGATGGGTATAGAATAGAAATTGCAGTACTCGAATAGCGTTTTTGAGTAATAAGTGATGCAGAATGTAGTTACGCACGTGGAAGAATAGATAAAATGAGCGTAATGGTTACTAATCCGCTAGTCAGAAGCATCCACGGACATAATAGGAGGCGATTTCGAAATGAAAAATGTATGTTGTGATAACATAAATTGCGGACCTCGACTAAGTGAATGAATGCAATATTAGATCAAAATGACATGAAAAAAAATTGGAACGAACTCACTTAAAGCAGGAAAATTTCACGTTTTTGAATAGTAAAAATATCCTAATGAGTTCTCACAAAGTGGAGTGGAATTTTCATAAAATAATAATTTGTTCGGTGAGTAATATGATTGCGAAAATGTCATAATTTAATGACAGCACGAACAAGATTAATAATTCCACATTCGGTCATGATATTGATAATAATGTAATAATAAGCATATAATGATAATTTGAATCGTAATGGGACAATCCGAAAAATGTATCAATGAGGATAATTGACATGAGGACAAAGTATCGATAAGATAATACGACTTGAGCATGTCCATGTCATGTTGCACAGGCTGTGCTGATTGCGTCGGATTGGAGATTGCGCTGGTTCCGCTGAATATGTTCGTCGAACGTATAGAGTGCAGAAGTGCCTTCATCGACGTAGCTTGCTGCGTTGCGTTCGTCGTCGGCGGGCTTACCAATGAGGATGCCCGTTCGCATGCTAAGCGAGCGAGAGCCATAACAAAGCAATAATGACGCGTATGGAAGATGGCTGAGAAGCCAACTCCCTTTTAATTAAGCGTTACTCAGTATTTATAGGCAGACAAAATAAGCTACAGACATATGATGAATCATGGGACATGAAATGTACACACATATACGCTCATGTGAAAACAGTCAAGGCTAATAAGCGAATAATTGACAAGGTCAAAATATGGCTCAAGTGAAATGAATGAAATAGGATGTCCGGAAGTTAGAATAAAGGCATATGGGCTTGCCATAATAACTGACACTACAAGGTATAAAAAATTGTTAAATTTCGACTAGATCTATAGAATCCGATCATCACTAAAATAAACTAGACATTACTCAATGATCAATCAGTTGTATATATCTCAATTCTACAAGAATTCAGTCTTAGCCTGAGTAATTCATTGGTAACATCTCACTTTGTCGAATAGGGTGACCAGGATTCCAATCCAATAAAGTATATCGTTCATTTTAAGAATACAAGTGAGCTTTAAGAAAGTAACTAGTTAGAATATAAAAATATTATTCGAAATAATTTAGAGGTTACGCCCAACATTTCTATTCTGGTTAAACAATGTAAAATAATTTCTGATAAGCAGCTAAGTTATTTACAATGACTGGATATAATTCTGAGAAAAAAACAGAAAGGTGAACAATCTATTCATTATTTGAAAATAGTTAACGACATCCAGTGAGATCAACTAATGAACTCTTTAAAAAATTTCGAAGAACTTTAGACTTCAACCAAATGAGAAACTTGTTAACATCATGATCAGTGCATGACGTGTCAACAAAAGATTTTTTTTTTCTAAAAGAGAGTCTAACATGTTTTCTGTCCGATTTTCAAATCTGATGCCTTTAGTTTTGAGAAATTATTCATGAAATATCTTTTCAGTTGTATAAAGTAGACGAAATATTATTGAGCACCATTAATCATTTGTAACAGTAATCAGTGTACCCAATTCTGCAATAAAATTATTAAGCATGTTTTTAGTAAGTCTTTGAAAAAAAAAATCATACTTGTGTTTAATCTATGTATATCAGTGAAACAGGTATAAAATATGGCGTGTTACATAACTCTTTTATGTTTATTTTCTTATCTTTCTTAATGTTTTACAGAAAGTAGAAGACAGTGATTCGATTTCCGCATTTGGGTAAGTTCATTGTTGTTTCTTTATTATCATTGAATGCAGTTTAGATTGAATGATTATATTTGATGTTTGGTAATTTAAGAGTAGGTTGGGAAAAACGTTAGAGGTTGTCAAACCAAGACATTACTTCAGTTCATAATGTGACTTAATGCTTAATTAAGATATACAAGTATGGGTAGACTACCTAGTCGGGAATAGCTCGATTATTACAACCAATAGTTGGAGAGGTTAGGTGTTTTGTCTCATAGTCTTTCACCAGGTTCTTAGCTACTTAAGACTGACCGACCATTTATTGTGTTTCATACAGATTTATCATTTGAAATGTATAGAAGTTGAGATTTCATCATTTCGAGGTACTGAGAAATTAGTTCAACTGATAACTAGAGTTAGAAAGTAATTCAAAAATTAAATTCTTGAATGTTATACTACAATTTACTATGGATTTTTTTCCACAGAAAAGGATTTAGTAATTTATTGATAGCATAAATATCAAATTCACTTAGTATCGTTATGCTTGAATCTTCCTATTGAGGTTTAAGACTGCAGTTGATCAGTCTGTTATCGGCATATGTGTATATTGTGCGTATTGCCTCGATATTGTCATAATTCACAAGCTTTATAAGCAAAGATGGATAGTGGCTAGCAATGGAATCCAGGACGCGCGCTTTGTTCTATTTGAGACTCGTCAGCTGGATGTACCTGCATCTCAGAGTTGATGTTCAATCTGGGACTCGAACCCAGTACCATTCGCTTTAAAAGCCATCAAATTGTTCTTCTGAGAACATGATAGTCAAAAGTAATTCTAATATGGGAATTTAGATTCACATAAACAGAAGTATGATTCTAAAAGTTTTCCTAAAAAGAACAGTTCTTAAGCGTTTCACGATACACAGATGCAGTTAGACTATATATGGAATAAAAATGTGTTAAATGTAAAGACCAGAGGAGGCTTTATTTTTGTTGGTGGTGATGGTTTCTACTTTTTAAGAATTTATTTACTGGTTAATATCAGAAAATTTCACATTATGCAATCGGTTTTCGAGGTTTGTTTCTTTATCGACAAACTACAGATTTGATTATTATTATTGAATGAAAGATGAAATAAACCTATATATAAAGAGACATTTTATATTACAATTTCCTCAGTAATAGAAAATTTCTTCTCATGATATTCAAATTTGTGTGCTAATGAAAAGTATATGAGTCGAATGATCGGCGAGACTATAATTTATGGACGAACCAATCAAGTTTAAGATAACAGGTCACAGATTTGGGCGTGAAATCAACTCATCCATTTGGATAAATTGAGTTTTGGCATTACATCTGACGTCCGATCGTGATGAAAACTCGAAGTCTAATTCCTAACCTTAATATCATCAAATGTAATTTATAATTCTAATTCCTCGCACAGGTTTATAACCCTCATTTGGTGCTGGTTATTAAGTGTACACTCTCGAGGTCAGTGTAGTATCGCTCGAAGATCGTCCATAAATTATAGTCACACCGAATGATCTTCAATAATAAAGAAATATCTGACATAATGGTGTCTTTTTTCAAATTAGGGTACAATATTTTATTGTATAGAAATGTTGATTAATTCTTAGTTGAATTATCCTAACAGATTATAGATGGATTATGATGAAAAATTCATAAATACATTCTTCTCTGTTTTATATTGAAGATATTTTAGCTGATTAATAAATATTTAATACTCTGTTTATTGATGTACTAAGCATAGCGATTCATCTGGCTAGATTTCTAATAACATTTATTAGTTTGAGTGAATGAGCCATCAATATTTAACAAGAATCGATGTACCAATGTATTTTGGTTATGACTGGCTATACAGATCTATTCACTACTTAAAGTTTGTAATACGGTTGAAATAATTACTGTATATTTGTATTGATGGTATGATGATTGGAAGTCTAGTAGACACTTTTTTTGTACTGTTTCATTTGGTTAATATGTGCTTATCCAGCTGGGAAACTGGCGTCTGTTCATAATTACAGATTGCATATGAACACACTATACCATATATCAGTGAGGGATATATCAAGCACCTATTCTGAATGCCTTTCAGTGGTATTCAGCACTTAGTTTTTTTATCCAGTAATATCCTAGTATAAGGAGGTCGTTCATTTAATTAGAGTGAAATACTGCTGATTGAGATAGATATAACGCTGGTTTAAAGCGAGGACAATTGTCCTTTTTCAAGTTTCAACGAAAGTATTGTAGTGAATGAGAACACAAGTGGGGACAACCGAATGAATTTGAATAGAAAATTACAGAATCTTGGTAAAATCTGAGAACCATACAGTAAATACTTCATTTGCAAAATGTCAATCAATCGCTTCAGTCTTCACTGTTCCTTCATTTCCACAGCAATCATTCACTGTTCTCGTTCTCTTTTCTTCAACATTCATAAAGTGTGTTAGAAATGCATAAAAGTGTTATTCTTACTGGGGATAAGTTAAAGGTGCCTTCATATATTTTTAATTAATTACACTACTGTAGCGCACATCAGCTTACCTGATGGGAAAGGAAAAAAAGAGAGAAGTTAGAGCTTGAAATTAAACCCTCAGTGAAAATTATACTATTACATGAGGCATTAAATCACTAAATGAACAGAAAAAAGCTAGATCTTTGCACACATTGACAATCGAGGAGCAGACAGATTACCGGTTCACAAACACATCCTATCTCCTAGGTAATCACTATATCAGTTTTGAATTTCAACCAATAAGATTAGAAATAAACAGAATACCTAACTTATTGAGACTCATGAACAGATTAGAGATTTATTCATTTCTCTGTGACTGTACTGAAAATAATGACCTATGAACTCGTGATCTTAACTTATGATTCAGGTGATCAGTCGAAAAGTTTTTCTTAATCAGTGATAAATTTCAACCACTGAACGGTACACTTTTTCATATAAATTAGTTTTTTACAGACAAAAATCTGTCGATTTCTCCTGCTTACATTGTACTGAAAACACAGATCTATTTAAGCTTTTTATCAAAGCTATGACGCTTTTTAGTGCTAGGTAGTTACCTATACTAGGAATTGATTCCAGAATGTAAAATTTGTTCATATATATTTCTGTAGGGAACGGTCACTGCTGGAGCAAGTCAATTAATTTCTCTTTGAATATGAATTACGACAAATAGGTACATATCATCAGTTTGTAATTCAAGCTAATCAGTTACTCATTTTCGTGTTAGGAATGTAGAAGAAAACTCACTGAACAATTTTGTTTCGTTAAACCACAATTCATTTGAAAAAAGTGATGAGCTGAATAGTCTGAAACTCTTTAAATATGATAGACTTCAATGGCATATGCGTAATAAATGCCGTTCAGTGCTTCCAGGTTTTCCATGGTGGTCTAGCTTCAATTGACTCATGATCTCAACTGTTCAAAGAGTATATCTTTATGTAGAATTCTTTAACGTGTAGATCCAGATGGTTAGACTTTGCTTATTATTAGTTTGTATATTACATATTTATTTAAAATATTAGCTATAGATATAGGTAGATTATGTCTACATAATCAGATTTATTTGTATATTATTCCTTTTTTGATATTGACGACTGTAATATAATCCGTCTTAGCATTTGCCAATCCTGAATAGATATTTTAATATTGTTTTTGCTTTAAAAGTTTTGTTGCGTTTGAATTACGATTAGTAATGAAGTCCAGGACTTGCGTCTCGATTTTTTTAATGTTTATCAGATGGATGAACTTGGATCCCAATACTGATGTCTATATTTGAACTAGAGTATAGTAGAAGTCTTCCCGAATGCCAACGCGTCATTCACTAAGCTGCTAAGTTCAGATGGCCACTATTTTGATTTATAAAAACTCGTGGTCAAGGTTCAATTGTGAATATTAACAACGGAATAATTATAAACCTTGACGAATTAACATTAAACCTGTTAAAGAGTTTGGTAGCAATCATAATCAAGCCTTTGAGTAGATAAAACATTAACATTTGGTGTGATAGGTAATAGGTTTGATTCTCAGTGTGACACAATCAATACTAAAATTCAAATGCATTCACCTGTGTAGAGATCAGAATGGGTTAAAACCCATATTCTACATTCTACTGTTGATCATAATCCGAAACTACTAAGATCATATTTATCACCCATGTGAATAATTCAACAATCTATCTATCTATCTTCCATACTTAAAAATAAATGTTTATTATACCTAATCGATTTTATGAAATCATTAGATGAAGAGACAAAAATTTTTTTTACCAATCAATTTATTAAGGTCAGTTTCTTTGAGATCTTTATGTTTACATGGATATTCATTTCTATTCATCTAAATAGCTTTTGTTTAATGTTATACATGTAACGTGATGATAACATATCAACATAATTATAATGGTTATTATATTGTTGTGAACATGTTTGTCTTTTTTGCTCTCTCTCTCTCTCTCAAATTATTGAGGACTTTATTAATTTTCACTTGGGAAAATAGTACATGAACAGTAGAAATGAACGTGAAAGGTGATAATAATAGTAATAATAAAAAGCTTGTGACTTAAAGCTAGATTGAGGCAATCCGCACAGGATGCACATATACCAACATGTGACTGATCAATTGTAGTTCTAAATAACAATGGGGAAGATAGAAGTAAAACAACATCAAGTGAATGATAATAATAATAATGAAATGACTGTGTCGAAAATATAAAGTAGAAAAACAAAGATAGGGAGGTGAACTGGATGTTCAATTAATTGAATACTTGTACAGGTTGTCTGAGGCAGTAATATCAGTGTGACCTCAGTACTAAATCATTTGCGACATTCCTCGGAGATATGTTATAGTGTGATTTCTTAAGCTACAATCAGGATATAATAGGAAAACCTGAAATATTGATATGATATAACTGGAATTAGAAATATGAACCGTTGTATACCAATCCAGTGATCTGGAAGTTAAGTAATCACCTCAAGGTTGAAATTTTCTGATTGTCTAAACGAATTTAATCAGTGATGTGAAAAATTCAGGTTCAACAATTTTCAGCAACGCCACAGTATAACAAGATTTATTCCCTAATAACATGTACGAAAGGCAATTTTAGAAAAGAATTTGCTTTTCTGGAACTTTAATTTTAAAGACTACTCATCAAGATGGGTAAATAATTTCCCATTATAATGAAATTGTAATTGATGTCAAGATGTCAAGTTGACCAGTGGATGATACCATAATTGTCTTGAAAATATTGATGGAAAATAGAGGGAGACAAACAATGTGATCTTAGTAGAATCTACCGGTCTATACTGAAAATTAACTTTATTAGTGAATAGCACTTGCCTTTAACGTAGATTTGACAATCTATGCAATTCAATAGTTCTCGAAAATGATTCTTCGATTAGAAAATTTAATACGACAAGAATAAGTACATTGATTAAATGCTATAATTGTTACCAGTAGTAAAAATGAACAAACTATGTAACAATGTTAGTGTTTAACTTCAATAAATCTAAAATGTTATACGATTAACCTTCATTATTTCTGGTTAATAACTGCCTCATGTTCGACTCCGTTGAACTCTACTGATCACGGATTCTCACTAGAACTCCAGAAATTTCATCTCGAAGCCAGTCATCAATGAGCATATGATAATTCTCGGCATAACGTTGTAGGGGTTTGTTGAGTCTTAATTGAAATCACGAACGGATTAATGTTAGACCATCATTGAAAACTTGGAAGAAATGGATGACTGTTTTGTTTTAGTATGAGACTCCTCAGAAGTTTGCATCTACGATCTGTATCACTATTACATGAATGATGAATGTTAGAAATTTAAGTTTCTTGGTTATTGTCTAGTACTACTGAAAGTGACCAGTAATAATAGGAAATGCTTGAATTAATTTCATCTCTACGAAGTATATTGTCATCATGTACTTCTTTAGTCATGAATTACAATCTAGCTTAGAATAACATTACATGAAAATGATCACCATTCAGCCTAAAGTATAAAATGTATCTAGGATAAATACGCTTAATAATCACCGAGTAATAACTGATATTAGTTATGTCGTGTATATGTTTGAATGACTTCTGGTGAGATAATTATTCAAAGAAATATGCCATATTTTTCCCATTTTAAATACACTATTTAGATGCATATCAATCGGTTGTAGACCCAATGCTTTTTATCAATTTATGTTTTAAACTAAACACTTTTCATTCGAAATCCTATCGTTTGTCACTCAATACAAAAAATATCCATGCATTATTTTCACATTATGAAGCCTGGAACAATATCTAAACTAGTGTTGCTTTTTTTTTGGGAACAAATTTATAACTATCATAAATTCTTTTTTTCTATACATCAAAATTGATCGATCGGTTGTTGTCAATTTGTTTTTTCCTGTTTTCACCAACAGGTTTTATCGATCTATCGAAAGTCAACCTGAACAACAACCATGGGGTAAGAAAGCGATTCCAATGGTTGGTGATTTGGTAAGTAACTAACACCGTTAGTGTGATTTTATGTGACATAGTGTGACTTGAAACATGTGAATCGTAGGATAAATGAATGTACCAAGAGAGTAGCTTATTGATTATCAGTTTTTATTCAAACGATTGAAGGTAGCTAATCTGTGTATCAGCTGGAAAAAATTATTCAAACCTAAAAAGCATTGAATAGGTGTTTTTCCTTAGTTTGAAACTCTACCTTACTGATAACTCTTACATAGACGAAACTAAGGATATCTGATCTCGTAATGAACGTTATGCTTTTAGAGTACTGAGTCAAAACTCACTAATCCCAATCTTCATCCTCAGTTAATACTCCAAACAGCATGACAATTATACATTACCATCAGTAATAACCTTCCAACTTCCGGTGACATAATCTTTGGAGGTCGCAACTTCATAATAGCACCTCAGCCATCCACTGTAAGAGAAGTCATTGATGAGTGCGTAACTAATTTTAATTTCGATAGTTTGTAAGGAGGTTTATTTTAACAACTTAGCTTCAGCTGAAAGGGAATCAATAAGAATAAAGGAGCACTGGCAAACTATCTCATTCTAATTATAGGTTTAATGATCCCATGATGAATACCCTATTCAAACTATGAAGAGGGGAAACACAACACGTTGTTCATAAAATCAAGTAGTCTAAGATTGAGTTTCTTGATCTAAAAAGTCAATTTATTCAACCTAATATGAGCCTCCTCAGCTGATAACATAGTCAAATATCATTAGGGTTAAAACGGAACAATAATAAATTAGAGAAATAATCTAACTAATCATTCGTAAAAAGTAGTTTAGTTTTTATAAGTCAATTATTAAACTACAATTTGGGCTATATCTTTTATTTATTTAAAAGGAGTGAGAGAAATAGTAAGAAATATAGCTCATTATCAAATTATACTTCATTTCCTGTTTCACTGAAAGTTGCAATCATTCACTTCAGTAGACTGCTGATGAATTTATAACGATGTATGTGTGAGTGAGTATATATATGTGTTCATGTAGATATTCAGCTTCATCCTTCAGAACTACCTACAACCACTATTAAAATCTGAGTGAATATTTTTCAATTATAAAGTTCACAGGTGAAACTATAATTTATGGACGATCTTCGAGCGATACTACACTGACCTCGAGAGTGTACACTTAATAACCAGCACCAAATGAGAATTATAAACCTGTGAGAGGAATTAGAATTATGAATTACAGTTGATGATAATAAGGTTAGGAATTAGACTTCGAGTTTTCATCACGATCTGACGTCAGATGTAATGCCAAAACTCTATTTATCCAAATGGATGAGTTGATTTCACGCCCAAATCTGTGACCTGTTGTTTTATACTTGATTGGTTCGTCCATAAATTATAGTCTCGCCAGTTCACATTTATATGTACATGTTCAATGCTACAATTATATATAGTCTTGAAATAAAAGTTCAATTTATATTTATATCATGAACTGACTTTAACTGAGCAACTGTTTAAACTAGGAAACACTGGACAGCTGGACTGAAGTTAACAAATCAGAAGTTTGACAGGTGATATTCTATCCCCAGGACTTGAAGTTTGTTACCTCAAAATGATATGAGATAGGATATGCACACTGATGAAGTGTTTCATAACAGGATTAAAAAATCGTTCAATCATTCCAGACATATAATAGTTGTCTAGTTAAATTAATTCAGTGATGTAAACAATATCATGAATAATTTTCACATACGTCTTTTAACGATTAGAAGCAAAGACTTTAAAGCAGATATTATAAACCCATCTGTCCATAGTTTCAGTGAAACAGAATAAAAACTAACTCTCTAGTTTTCAATAATGATCAATTTTGTGTAGTTAAAGCCTAAAAACTATGTAGATAATACTGGTAAATAATACTCTGTTATTATGAATGGAAAATGTGTGCACAAAAATTTTTTCAGTGACCTGGTTTTTATCTTAGTTAGATACACATATGTCGAATTTATTCAGAAATTCTAGAGAGTCACTGATATATTAAGATTCGTCAATGGAACATATGACTAATTCATAGAGATAGTAACAAAATAACTTTAATTGAATAACTACTGAAGACCAGGCTTGATGGATGGCTGTTGCATCCCAGAATATAACTACTCGGTAGTCCAAAGATACGAAGTCACCTGAACTCGAACGTAGAACGTTTGGTTACTCTATAAGCGCATCACTTTATAGTCAATGGGTTGTAATTCGATGGTTCGAATTTATAACTTCAATCACTTCTCGATATTGTGGCATTATTATTATCCACTTTGAATATATAGTGACTGTTACACATCCGATTTAGTTAAGATTCACTTAAGAAAAGCTAGTCACTTTTCGAGTTTACAAAGTGACTGATACATTGCAGGGAAATCGGATGTATAATCTATCAATTGTAAGAAATATTCAAAAGAAAATCATTGAGTATGAGATTATACCAGAGAACTAGTTGGTTAGGTTCATGGTTTTTATTATCTATTGTTTTAGGCTAATCGTAAAAGCAGATTTAAGATAAAATGTTGAGCTTTTTTCTAAAATTTTACAGGGAACGTTAATTAAAACATGCCGATTATCACTGTTAATAGAAAACATTTCTGGAGTAGTATGAAGCAATTTTCAAAAACCGAATATTTTAGAAGTCAGGTTATGTCATCTGAACACTTTTATATTGACACAGCAACTTTTCTTAACAAACAGAACATGGAGATGTAGTAGGTTGATTTATGAATTCCGTTCAATGGTTTTTGAATCTGCAGAATTCCTTGATGACGTCATAAAGAGCCAGGATTAGATTGAGGACATTTTGTATAATCAGCACGCGTGCTGATAAAACGTCTAGGAAATTGACGAAGTATTTGTTATACTTTTATTGGATGATTACTTACTCTGTTATCAAATTTGGTACACTAGTGGAACTTTTCAGAGAATCACAGTTACTAATAAATTTAGAAGTGCCGTTGTTTTCTGTACACTAATTAGCCTTGAAGTAAAGCATCCTTTCTTATTTTTGCCTATTGTGTAGTGTTCGGGGCTTAATCATGGAAATATTTTGGGGTTATAGTAAGCGTTTAGAAAGTCAGTATCAAGAGTTCGAGTGGCAGACATATCGGTTTCGTTCTTACCTATCAAAACCTTTTACTGATAGACTAATTATCCAATTTTAATATATCAATAAGCTTCACCTTTTTAAAAGTATATTTAATTAAAAGTGCCTGGATTACATTGTTTAATCTTCAAATAAAGAATACAATTTTATGCACCCTATGAGCATAGTTGATTTTCAACTACCTAAACGGTTCAGTAGTATATATAGGGAGAGGGGATTAGTATCTTAACTGTTCCGTTAAATTACACGTTATACAACTATGTATGCTTGCCAGTCACTCATGAGTTTCTTAAATTTTATTTTTTTCATGTACAAATTTCGTGGAAACCAGTTCAATTTGTTAGTAATATTTGACTTCATTTGGGATCCCACAGAAAATCAAGGAGCAGTGGATAGCTATTTTGTCTTAATATAGGAGACCTCATGAGTGTTCACCGGTTTTCACATTCCATTGTTATTTCGAAAAGAAAACAATTTGTTTATTAAGTAGTTAGAAACATTTGAGAAGAATCTGTAAATTTAAGTTTCTTGCCGGTTGACACTTATCAAAATGCTTTGCTGAGGATCTCGTAGGGATAGGTGCTTTTTATGAGACTTGAATCCACGCAATCCAGTATTATAGTCAGCTATCTTATCACTGAACCATTTGCGCTGTAACTAATGTGCTACAAGGCTGAGACACATTTATTGATCACTGACTAGTAACGCACGCCATTTTTGTTTCATTCTTATCGCTAATAGAATTCAATCGACCACTTAGCTATATACACACTGCTTGAGATCGTTTGTTCTGACATTATTTGTTCATAGGCTAAGTGTTCTTTATTCTTTCACCAGTTCAACATTTCCTCAACATTTATTTCTATAATCAAAATTTTTTAATTCAGTTCAATTTAGACAAAAAGATAATACTTTATTGAGTTTAAAAAAAAATTCAGTTTGGTGAAAAGTGCTTCAATGTCCACTACACAAAATTCATTATGACAGAAATAGTAATTATCTAGTAATTACTATATACGATCTCAGTTAATGTTTAGTCTATTTCTAGTATATGAGTTGAATAATTTTAATTATAAGAGAAAACAAAATGTAATTAGGTAATAATTATAAAAGTTCAATCACATTATTATTACTCCTACTAGTACTTTTAGTACTACTAATAATAGTATTATTAATAATATTAGTAAGATATATATATTTAATTTTGAATGTTTGTTTGCTGTAAATCTTTAATACTGAAGATTATGTGTCTTCTCATTTGAATTCGATAGAATTGTTCTAACTCATTCTGAATCACATTATCGAATGTTTAAGCGATTACATTACATAATGTTATTGTTAGTGTTAATATAAATCAATTATTATCACTGAAGTTCATTAGTCTTCGGTTTACATCTCTTAATTTTTGTTTTAATGTTATTCACCGAGGCGAGATTTTTATAGTTGCACAAGCAGGTGGCCACCAGGGCCCAGTAGCTAAGTGGTCAACACGATGGCATTTGAAGCCAACGGTACTGGGTTCGAGTCCCGGGGTCAACATCAACTTTGGGATGGAGATACATCCAGCTGACGCGTCCCAAATAAAACGAAACAGGCGTCCTGGATGCCCATGCTAACCACTATCCATCTTTGCTTAATAACTAATTTTAGTTTTAGTCGACTTTTCATGGCTACTTCTTTATAGTAATAACTACTATAATGGTTGTGAAAAGAAGTTGTAAGCCCCATGTGAATCTCGTCAAACAAATTGTACATATACGTAGACAGATCCTGTTGTGTGACAAGTTCATCATATGATGATACTAAAAGGTCTAATATGAAATATGTTGGGAATGTGTGCTAATCAACAGACAAGCCAACAGTGAATATAGAGAATGAATGAATTACGCAATAGTATATTTGATTTGTTAATCAAATCAAATTATAGTATGACTATTACAAAATTATAATCAAGTTTTCATTTTCTTCTGTTATATATTGACAAGTCTATAGTTTGCATCGAAACTTAAAATCTCCATTAAAGGAAGTTTTCAATGTGTTTATAAACAATTTTCTTTAATTTTTAGATAAGTGAATCTATGATTTACAGATAATCTTGAATGACCATAAGAAATCTCATTATTGATATTATTATTATAAGCTTTATTCAATATTATATTTTTGGTACAATATAGAATTCTCAGCGCAAAGTATTTCAACAAGTTTCCGTCTCTTACTTCTTGGTCGATCCTGACGATAAATATTGAGTGATCGCCAGTTAGATGTTAGCAGTCCAGTAAATGAACATTTGAATAATGTATATTCTTTTTACTGCATATTGCCAGCAACCACAATATCTTTTATTTGGCTTTTTGTAACTTTGACAACGAAAGGTTGTACACTTTTGCGAAACGCACCTGAATAAGTTATGCCATTAATAAACATAATGATGTATTAAAACAAACTAAAATAGATAACTTGTTGAAATATCTAGATGGGAGGAACAAATAGCCTAGATACTCGAGCAGGCCGCCTTTTATTACGTTCAAAAAAGGGTTAGTAACACATATTAGGAATTAAATCGAGGATTTTCATCATACCCTTTAATCAATAAAATGGTATAAAATACTTTTTAAAACTATGAATAAATAAAAATTATACAGACGCTACTTTAAATTTTATTATTTTATACCATAAATTATAATCCTTTCGTGATATACCCTTCATTTTATTACATCATAATAATAACTGAAGTAATAAATTTTCCCCCTCCCCTTGAATCTTTTGTTTCCTACTGAGAGTTTTAAAATAATCAAATTTTTTTTGTAAAAAAAAAACAAACAGCGCCAACTTTCAAATACTCCTGTCAACTGTGATAAATTTTCTAAGAAAAATAATTAATGTTTTTATGACTGGTAACAAATGAGAAAAAAATTTTTTTTCTTTTTCTTCTTCTTCTTATTTATGAAAAGTTTCAATTATCATTTGAAGAATTAAAATTAAAATAGATAAATGATGCGTTGTGTATTATAAGTGTTTACATTCTCCTGTAAGCATCTCCTAGTTTGATTAAGGAAAAGGATAGTTAAAACTGTTGACAACTTGATTCTAGTACATTTAGTACAAACCGGTCATGTAGACAATATGGAGCAATCAATTACAGTAATAATATTGTGTTAACAACAATCCACCTTGATTCACCAGATTAAGAATCCTTTAGACGACTGAAACAATGGCTATTTGGATTTTTAAAAAATATGTTCAATCGTTACTTTTACCACGGCCAACTTCTGATCTAATAAGTTATAATGATCATTTGATGATATACTAACGTAATCCGATTAATGTTCTTATAATTTTCCTTTTGTATTTTCATAGCTAAAACTTATCTTAGTCACATATTCTTGTTATCTGTATAATACTTGCAAATATTTTGAGAAATTTATTCTGTATCCATGTCTATTTATTAATTTGTACGTAATTTATATAATACCAAATATTACATGATTTTTAATTTGTTATTACATTAATATCTCTCTTATCCCATATTAACCATATTTATTCAAGTCAACGCTTCATATTAGTCATCCAACGTTAGCGATTTTCAGAATAGGGTTATGGAGATTGTTCAGTTTTGATTAAGATCATGAATTGATCAATTTGTGAACTTACCACTGATAATCTGGATGCACTGGACGGTATTTTCGTCCTAGTATGAGAATCCTCAGAAATGAGCATCATTGATTTGATTTTATTTTAGAATTCTAAATTCATATGCTACAATTTTTATATGATGTATTTTTCCCTAAACTTGGTCACCTTTTTGGATTATTAATTTGGAAACTGAAGAAAATTTATTGAAAAGGATATTCTTTGTTTATATATCTGTGTTTTAATGTAATGGATAATCTTTAGCGATTTTGAATTTGATTGAAATTATGAGGTAGATTATCAGTGAACACCTGGCAGCACTTGACGTTTGCCTCATCCAAGTGTGCAGGCGGTGCGCATTCATAGTCCTGCACATGAGACTTGAATCCAGAACGTTTGGTCTCACGCCTGAAAGCTTAACTCTTAGACCAATGAGCTGGTATCCAACAGTGTTAGTGACCAACTTCAATCAATTCACGAAATCGCCCGACCGAGGGTCAGGAGTGAAACAGATGTTGTAGGTCGTATTAGATGTTCTTCACTCTTACGGCTTGAGACACTAATCAACATTATGTATCATATCTTCAGTAGGACCGGTGACCTATGTATCGATTAACACACAGAGCAATGAACAATAATCTATGAGATTAACTCTTATCGGACCATGAGCTCCTTCTAAAAAAATAGTCAATTAAAAACTAAGACGAAAAGCAGAATAAAACTTTTTTGTACTCATTTCAACTCATGACTCAAAGCGCATACAATAACAGGCTTGAATTTACTGATCACACAGCACACCGTATTAGAAATCATACTTTAAAGATAACCATACCATAAGTGGTAGTATTAAACAAACTGTACATAATTAATAAGAAATAAGTAAGGAATAGTAAAACGTATAGTGACAATCAATCAATCCTCTGCGAAAGTTTCAACTTCCCCAACATCTGTCCCGTTATAACACCTACACTATATCGTAAATTGATTAACGTTGGAGTTATAACATCGAAAACCAACACACTTATTCTAATGTTTAAAAGTTTGCTGAAAGACCTGGAGATTTTGAGTTCTATCCTGAGCAGAATCGTGAATTCATATGATTAAAGAGCTTCATTACCAGGACTAAGCACCTGTTTAGTACTCTATGATTTCCAATAGTATCCTTACAGAGATCAATCTGTAACTTAATCAAACTATGATTTAAACTAATCTTCATTAAAAATCTCTTCAATTAAATCCTTAAAATATCTGAAAATCAATACAGTTGAAGATTTCATTATTACTAAACCATTGTATTAAATATAAATTAAAAATGTATGTTAATAACATCAAATAATTCAATGAACTATTGTTATCATTTTACGTAAAGAATATTAGAAGGGAAAAGAGTAAAACACGATGGTTTTGCATTAAATTTAACGAGCACTTCCTGTTTATAAGCAAAGATGGATAGTGGTTAGCAGGGGAATCAAGGACGAGCGTTTCGTTCTATTTGAGACTCGTCAGCTAGATGTACCTGCATCCTAGAGTTGATGTTCACTCCAGGACTCGAAACGAGTACCGTTCGCTCCAATTGCCATCGCACTCTCCATTATCCATATTTACTTAGAAAGCTTGTGACTTTAGGCTATATCGAGGCAACCTGCACAGGATGCATATATGCCAGCATGAGACATCAATTGTAGTTCTAAATAACAATGGGGAAGATACAAGTAAAACAACACCAAGTGAATTTCCTGTTTTTTATCATTATTATTAACCTCGTCTCTCTCTCTCTTATAATCAATTAATTTCATTTTTGTTTCATTTCATTTTATCCAAACACTAGGTATTACGAGTAAGTTACAATCTGTTGTCTATATTATGCTGTGTATTTACTTGTTTTGTTATTTTTGTGAACATTATTTATAGGTTTATCTTAAGCCTAATTAAGATGAGCTGTATTATATACTTGTTGTTAGAAGATAACACATTCAAGTCATTCAATGGTAACATTTTTAGGTTGCATTTTAAATAAAAATATGTTAAATAATTTATTACAATTGATTGATCATTGTGTAGTGACCAGTGTAATGTATGTCTAGTCTATTCATGTTTCTGATCAAATTCAATAGATTGTTATAATGTAATCACTAGTCTAAGTGACTTCATATTGAATCTATTATGTTGAGATAGAAGAAGTCAACAGAAAAACTTGCTTAACTTAAGTTTCAGGCTAATTAGAACTCAATAACGAGGTGTGCCTGTAATCTTTAGGATTGATTTTAGCGTTGGTTAATTAAGCCTACAAAGACGAAAATATTCATACACTAAAGGAAAAATCTGTCCAAGTAAATTGTTTAATGATTGTATAAGTTTTTTCTGTTTTATAAAAGTTCCGCTAATTCTGTTACCGTATTCATTCCACAACTGACAAGAAAAAACTCTCAGGTCCTTGAACCTTTAGTCAAAGTCTCAAGAGTTTTAGTAAAATACCAGGTCATAGTATTGCGCAATCTCTAAACGTAACCACAAATGACCTCAAAAAGGTGTAGATAAAATTGGTTAGGTATTCGGTTTAAACTTAGTACTTTGAAAGTTCTTTCAGTTCAATGTGTTCATAAGTCTTGACTCTATGGAAATTTAGCTTAGTGGTTATGTGTAGACAGCATTTTTATCTTATGGAATTAAATTTCTCTTAGTCAGTCAGCTACAACGTAGGACCAAGCACATATATGCATCGGTCCAAGTTGCCATACCTCATTAGCACAGCAAGATGAACACCGGATTCATAGAAGTACTTAATTCAGTGATGGTAATATCTAAAAAAGAAAGATTTTATGTAAGGAAAGAATTAGTTCAAAGAAACAAAGATATAAAGTGATTTTAATCTCATGGTTTAAGGGAAGACAAAAAATGTATACACTGGCACCATTGTAATCGATTATGAGCCATATCACCCAGAGTGTCCACCCATTGATTATAATAGTCACACGAACCCCAACCAAGTAGTCTGCATCTACCAACATGGCTCAGAGCGTGAGATAATGATCAAGATTCAAAATTTCTTTTTGAAATCCAATATGATTTGCATCTAAACAAAAGAACATGCAGAAATTTTTTAAAAATAGTTTTAAATAGTAATTCAAGGGATAAAAACATCTACAGTTTATACAATTCTCAATTGTACTACTTAAAACGATTAGTAACTATGTAAACTACAGTGTTAAAATAATAAAAATGTAACATAAAAGTAACATTTTCTTCCAATCTAAAAAGGTATTGAAATAGAACAAGGAATAGACACTTAAAAAACCCACATTCCCCTCCTTGTTTGTCTAAAGTTTATTTTAATTGAAGTTTTTTTAATTGATGAACCATTAAAGATACTTGTTCAAGTAAAGATACCTATCTCTTCAGATAGAAAACTTTTCTTCACAGTAGGTTTGCATTTTCTTTCGCGTTCCATTCCCTTCTCTCTCTCTCTCTGTATGGAAATGTGTGTGGGAAATATAATGAGACAAACATAGGTTACTTGAGTAATTATTGAATAATTGAATGAATAATGTACGGTGATATGGTGATTCACTAATTCGATGATTATCTATTCACTAAGAAATTCAGATATTTATACCATTCGATCAGTTTCAACTAGGAACAAATAATCGAATATTGTTGAACTGTTGTGTTAACAGAGGAGGAGACCAGTTTACTTGATTTCAACTAACAATCACTATTCTAGTATGAAATAAAATATTAGAAGTGATATAAATTTAATCAGAATAATGTCAAAGGTTTTGTAATTAATCGATGTTTAACTGTCTATAGGGTTTTCATTCTTTTCGAAAAAACATTGGTTAAACAGACAAGCCTCAGTTAATAAATAAATGCTCTGACCTATTCCAAATCATCAGTGTGTCTGATTTTTAGATCAGGGTCGTTTGGTTCTAGAAATTTACTTACAATAATATTCTATGGGACTCAGCTTTTTCCAGCCACGCTAAGGTGGATTTCTGTCTTACTTCTAGACTTTGGCAGTATATTTTATGACTCAGAATGTGAGTATACCGGAGACTTACCAACCAAGATGGTACTGCTTGTGGCTTTTTCTCTATCTCCGCATGATTGTCAATTTTTCGTCACTCAAGACAGTCTCATCGGAACCATTAGGAACACTGACAGTTTTATCGAGGTCTTCAATTTCTACTTTAGAATCATGAATACAAACATTAGGTGTTATTTCACTCTTCATTAGCTTCAAAGGAGATTTTACTTTTTCGTGAATCACATTCGGGTGTTTGGCAAGTTCGTAACAACATGCACAACACTGATAAATTCTTTGCTGACAGTATTCGTGTTACCAGTGCAGTCACCGTAAATCTTCTTGAAGGCCAAAGCCAGAACTCGGTAGAAAAAAGTGCCTCGAGGAGGATTTGGGAGAATCCCAAACCCTAACCGAAATAATTCAAGTCAATGTAGACGAAGCATAGTTTGGATGCAACAATTACACAAAAGCCAAGTTAACCACGACTAGTACTGAATCACTGCCCTTTTTGAAACAGGCACTTTCTGTTTTTCTTGTTGTAAGCAGTTCTGCACTGGCTCATTAATGGTATATCAAAGTCAGTAACACTTCGTTGGGAAGTAAAGAAGACTCATCATAACATGTACTGTTTCAAGAAGGTGATTTTAAGCATTGTGTTTTGGGTGACGGTTTTTCCTTAATAATCTGCTGCTCAAGCAGTAGTAGTGTAAAACACGACTTTACGCTGGAGGAATATACGTTTATTTCAAGAAGTTACAAAGTATTTACGTAATACATATACACAGTATCCATCATCTATTTGCATCTTTCAGTGTTTCTTGCCATCTGAACTATCTTCTCGTCTGGTCCCCATTTGTTCTGCCAACGTCGTGCTTTCGATGCACTGAATGTCATCACAAGAATTGCAACTTCGACACCCCATTTAGCTACACACTACTTACATACATCCTTGTGGGAGGCGTGCATTGCAGTAGTATTAGTAGTAGATAGACAATGGTTTTAGTCACTGTGCTACCACTGAAAGATGTACATGACGGTTAAGATCAAACCCACTAGGTCTAATGACAATTATTTCACACATCATTGGAAGCTGGAAACTGCATAAACAAGTGTTAGTAGTTAATTACTATAAATTATAAAAGGAAAAAATTAGAGATTTTATTAACATGAACAGAAGGAAAGTTGACAATTATGCTAACAGAACTTGTAATCATACTGAATTGCCAAAACAGAAACACAACGAAGTCATCATTATTCCCTGCTTTTGAATAAATAATAAGATAGACAAATTAGTTATCTAATGAAATATCATTCAGATGTCAACCTGTTAAACGCCCAAGTACAAGGGAATGAAAAAGATGCAATTTCCATCTAATAGTCTGACTCGATAAGTGATCTATGTTAAAAACAAATTTGAACTTTATTTTGCATAGCTTTCTGTGCATTAATGTGATGTGTAGTTCAAAATTCAGCTTGCTTTACTTTCAAATTTTCCTTTGTTCTAATTCAGACTATGGCACAGAAACGTACATTAACATCTTTGTCGTCTAATCTAACCAGTTGGACACTGACAGATCAAGAATTGGTAGGAAGTTATTTTAAATAAATTGTTTTTCTGTTGACTATTTGTGAAAATTGTTAAATTTTATGGTTTACATCAAGGATTGATCTTAAACAGCTTCTGGAAACTAGGTAGCACTGGATCGCTACTGCGTCTTGATAATTGTTAAGCTCTTGTCACGGGACCTGAGAGCCCTGAGTTTGATATCTGGTTAGTCTATGTATGTGTACTGCTGAGGAGTCTCATACTAGCAGGAAATAACTACCCACTGCTTCGCAGTTTTCAGCTGTAATTAAACTAATATCAGTCAATGATGCAAGCTATAATAATTCTTTTTATATTACAACCGGAATTGGAGTGATCACACTTTTTTGGACGGCATACGTAGCTTGAATTAGGCCAATTCATACAAAAATTTCTTTGAATAAGTCTTCATTGTCCCTACCCAGGTTGATTACAATAGTGCTTGATGTTAAATACTTGACTTTGTAGGTAATTGGCAGATTTTTATGATGGACGAGAATATTACTTACCGAATCTAGGTATTCTGAAACCTCTAAATCAACTCATATTTTCTATAGACGACTTCAATCAAATAAACAGTCATGGGAGATATCAGTAGATAACTAACAGAATGTTATATTTAGTATGGAGTTATGGAGATTTTTATAACGCGCAGTTTTACTTCGTCTAATGTTATAACGGTTTGGTTTCCACGTTTACACGAATATCTACACTAGATTCCCTCTCAGTGTCTATTCTACAGCACTTCAACACAACTCAAATCAAGAACACGTGATTAACCTGACCGCAACGTAAATATATTTCCACACCAAAACCCGACACGATCCAACAACAATGAACAATCAATAATAAGCGAGTAATAATAATAAGGATAGGGGAATATATAACTCATCTGACGCCTGTCAGTCTACCTACATGCCTAACTAAGCAGACAACCAATCATTATCATTCTCGCTCACACATCAGAGATGATTGAATTTCATTGAAATCATTAACTGATCTAAGTTAAACCACTATTGAAAATTTGGAAGCAGCGGACGACCGTTTTGTCATAGTATCGGATTTCTCAGCAGTAGATACACACGATCGCACACGTGGGAATCGAACCTAGGGTCTTCACACTCACGTTCAAACACAACTTATAGACCACTGAGCCGAAATCCAACAGTATTAATGCTTAACCTCAATCAATCTAGGATATTGTGCTATTATTTATATGACATTACTGCTTATGTTAGGTAGATTATTTGAAGAAAAGTAATTTGAATCATCGATGCCAAGGTCGGACTTGGTAGTTTCGAATCGCTTGAGCATCGGGTAGAAAGTTAATGGTAACTTTATTTTTTATTATATTCCAATGTGTAGAAAAATTGAACTTCTGACGTTTCGTGACTTAATGCAAGTCCCTTCTTCAGAGTAAATAAATAACGGTATTAAATTAACACAAGTTTCAAAGGAAACAATTTTTTTCTTTTATTAAGTGATGAAACGTTAGAAATACAATTTTTCATACTCATTGGGATATAATACAGAATAAACTAATCATGAATTTGACTCATGTTTTCTGTGGATTCCCTTACACTGGTCGATGTTAGATAATGGTAGTTTTTTAGTAATTCGTGAGTGAAACTCAGATAAACTACAAACAAATTTGCATATGTTTATATCATCCATTCTAAGAAGCGATGGCTATAAAAGACCCTGAACTAGTTAACTTATTCGGATCGATCATTAGGAAGAACATGAGTAGTTATGCTGATTCGTTTGGAATACATCTGAATAACAGGTGTTCGACTTAAATATCAAGACAACAAAGCAGAAATATGAAATACCATATGAATACAGTTGAAAATATCATAGTTCACTGATATATATGAAGTCGACCAGAGAGTTTCAGGAATGCATATTCTCATTTGTTTCTTACTTACTTACTTACGCCTGTTACTCCTCGTGGAGAAGCATAGGCCACCCACCAACACTCACAATCCAACCCTGTCCTGAGCAGTCCTTTCCAGTTCCTTCCAATTGTTATTCATTCTTTTCATATCTGCTTCTATTTCCCGACGTAATGTGTTCTTTAGCCTTCCACCTTTCCTCTTTCCTTCAGGATCCCAATTTAGGGCTTGCCTCGTGATGCGGTTTGATGAATTTTGTAATGTATGTCCTATCCATTTCTATCATCTTTTTCTAATTTCTTCTTCAGTTAGAATCTGGTTTGTTCTCTCTCACAGAAGGTTGTTGCTGATGGTATCCGGCCAATGGATGTTGAGTATCTTGCGTAGACAGCTATTTATAAATACTTTTACCTTCTTGATGATGGTTGTTGTAGTTCTACAAGTTTCCGCTCCGTACAGTAGAACTGCCTTGACATTCGTATTGAAGATTCTGACTTTGATATTGGTTGAAAGTTATTTTGAGTTCCATACGTTCTTCAACTGTAGGAATGCTGCTTTGCTTAGCCATTCCTCACCTTTACGCCTGTATCACATCCTCCTTGTTCATCGATGATGCTTCCCAGGTACGTGAATGATTCTACATCTTCCGTAGTTTCGACATCAAGTGCGATCGGATTGGTGTTCTCCGTGTTGTATTTGAGGATCTTAGTTTTCCCCTTGTGTGTGTTGAGGCCTGCTGGTGCAGAGATTGCTACTGCCCTGGCCAACCTTATCTGCATTTCTTCGTTTCTGTGGGATAGGAGGGCTAGGTCATTTGTAAAGTCCAAATCGTCCAATTAATTCTGAGCTGTCCATTGTATTCCGTCAAGGTTCTCTTAATCCAGTCGACCATCAGAAGAAAGAAGAAGGGGAGAGTAGACAGCCTTGTCCGACTCCGGTCCTTACTTGGAATGCATCTGTCAGCTGTCCTCCATGCACGACATTGCACCGTAGTCCGTCGTATGAGTTCCGGATAAGTTGACGATCTTCTCAGGAACTCCATAGTATCGAGGAAGTTTCCATAATATTCTCTTATCTACACTGTCAAACGCCTTTTCATAGTCAATGAAGTTGATTCATAGTAACGAGTTTCACTCAACCGATTGTTTAACAGTGATCTGTAATGTCGCGATTTGGTCTGTGCACGACCGATCCTTACGGAATTCAGCCTGTTGATCTCGAAGTTGGGCGTTTACTGAGTCTTTCATTTGGTCCAGCAACACTTTATTGAAAACGTTTACTGGCACGGATAGTCGTGTGATTCCTCTGTAGTTCATACATTTGTTCAGATCTCCTTACTTTGGTATCTTGATGAGGTTCCTTCTTTCCGGTCTGTCGGTGGGACTTGTTTCTCCCCCCAAATCTTCCTGAAGAGAGGGTGAATCATACTTAGTTACTTTCATGTCTGGGTTTAGTGCTTCAGTTGGTATATTGTCAGGTCCTGCTATTCTCATTTGTACTACAGCATTATGAAGAATAGCTACAGATCTCGATTGTATTCTGTAATTTCCACAAACAGATACCGAAAATATTTATATTTATTTTATAGATCATTCTTTATTAATATTCGTCAAAATAATCCTAATTGTCTGTTGAATATTTCCTTATATTTTAGAAAATGCATGTTTATCGTAAAACATTACAAGCCTTGGCTTATCCCATATCAAGTAATACACCTCATAATTTTCAATTGTTTAGTGCTACCAGTCCTACTTATTGTTATGAATGTGAAGGCTTATTATGGGGTGTAGCCAGGCAAGGATTACGATGTACTGAATGTGGTGTTAAATGTCATGATAAATGTAAACGTTTATTAAATGCAGATTGTTTACAAAGTGAGTATATTATTTCCATATATATATATATCATAATAAAGTGATTAATTTTCACGTTTGGGAAGATAATTGCTGTATAACTTTGAAAGTTGACAGTAGTATATTTATGTTTATATTTAAGTGAGATGAGAAAACAATCAAGTAAGTGTGTCACCTAAATAAATCAGAATCCAAGTAATTCATTAACATACGATTAGTTTGATGCTTATTATAATAAACTTTGAAAATTCGTTTGCATAAATAGGCTGTCACTAATCACTCTTTTTGAATCGCTTTTATGCTTCTTGAAAAACAATATGTATATTCATATCTATACTTGAAGAAGAGATGAATGTTGACTAATGTTCGTACAAATTATTTGTATTTAGTTTCTATCTTGAAGAACCAGTGAAATAAACGATGAATGGATAAATGGTTTGTGCTAGTTTTTTTTCTATGACGTCTCACTAGTTCACATGGGGTCGAACCTCGGAACTGCGAAATTTCAATGGTAATCAAAACAATATGAAGTAGAACTATCTGATAGCTTAATTATTACAATATTATTATTATTAGCTTTATTCAATATTATAGTTTTGGTACAATATAGAATTCTCAGCACAAAGTATTTCAACAAGTTTCCGTTTCTTACTTCTTGGTCGATCCTGACGATAAATATTGAGTGATCGCCAGTTAGATGTTAGCAGTCCAGTAAATGAACATTTGAATAATGTATGTTCTTTTTACTGCATATTGCCAGCGACCACAATATCACTTATTTGGCTTTTTGTAACTTTGACAACGAAAGGCTGTACACTTGCGAAACGCATCTGAATAAGTTATGCCATTAATAGACATAATGATATATCAAAACAAACTAAAATAGATAACTTGTTGAAATATCCAGATGGTAGGTACAGGTAGCTCAGATGCTCAAGCAGGCCGCCAGTTAAAGTAGACATATTTAATTTTTCATGATCAAAAGCAAAAACTGACCATGATAGAATCAACAACAAAAAAGTAGATCTCATTAGAAAACTGTATTGAAAATCTTCAATGGATTCAACTGATTTCTTCTTTTCTACTGTTAACCTTAAAATTAGGCCAGCTGTAAGTATAAATCTGTGTGTGTGTGTGTGCGTGTGCGTTATTACCAAATGTCTAGAGTAATATGACATAAATATCAGCTCAATGACACAAAAAACACAAAAGAAATAAAATAATCTGGAACGAAATAAAATTGTAAAAAGCTTTCACATATATGTTCTTCTACTGTTTGTTTCTCGATACGTTTTTATTATTATTACCAATATATGATGTGTGTGTCGGTGTATAAGTGATAGTCTTGATGACCATATTATTCTAAATCTCGAATGAATCTAATTTTGGAACATTATCCATTCCCTTAAGGAAAAATTATTGTAACAAATATCTACTTGTTCATAAACATCATAGAATAGCTTTCTTCTTTTTTCTCCTTCCAAAAAAAGTTACTTTTCTTCTTCTCAGAGTACACTGTGGTCTTTGTGGTTAAAAAAATATAAGATCTACAATGGATGATTGTCTCATTGAAATATGTGCTGAAAACAGTATGATAATTGTCCATGTAAATTCAATTATTGTTTATACCTTCTACTTCTTGTTTCCTTTTCTTAGCAACTGGCCCATAAATAATTCAACCATTCCCCTATAAATTTAAGTTTCAAATGTAAGACGGAACAGTTTACTTAGGGTTTAATCAGTAACAATCAGATGTTAAATGACATCACATTCAGTATTTTTCAACTAAATAACTTGATGAATTATAGTATCAGAAAATGAAATACAATACCAGAAGCGGAAATTAACAGATTTTTGTACTGAACATCTTTCTTTTTTATGCGAGATTCTTTGATGGATAAACAACGGTACTGATACTGTAAAATGATTTGTAAGATAGTTAACTGATGAGTAGGACTGATAAATCAAACATTTTATCGTAAAGAGAATGTAGCTTGATCAACTAATTGTTGTCTTCGGAATGGGTAAACCTTTTCGACATGTTATTACAATATTGTCATACATGTAAGAACAGCAATCTTTACGGAACAAGGTCTGGTAGACTGGTAAATGACAAGGAAGTGGTCAATAACATTTAAGCTATAACATCTCAGACTGTGACTATGGGTCATGTCTGCTCTCATTTCATGAAGAGCATCGGTTCTCTCAAGAATGTTAATAAATTCTGCTAACGAGTAGCATTTAGTTCAAAACCTAGATTTAGGGTTATCAGTAGCTTATCTTCAATTGTCTAACAATAAAAGACACTGCACACAGCGTTTAATCATTAATATTAGGTGACCTATAGTCCTTAACGAGTTTTATCGACCAAGTTACTATATGGATACTATTCTAGGTGAATCGACATTATGTTGAGATAACGAGATTGTTGGTGGTAGTTGGCAGAAAATTTTGCATCTAGATTTTATCCTGCTTGGCGCTCTCCAATAAAACATACTACCAATCCCGAGGGGACTGATGCTCCAGTGTAGCAGAATACCCGATTTCACAGTCTGAGATGTTACCACTGAACTATATGGGTTGTGAAGGACTTCCAGTAGAACTAAGTTGTTTGCAACTAGGATTATTTTTTACTCTCAACGATAATCGTCAACTGTCAATGAACACGCAATATAAAACCGATTTAATTCGTATCCAAGGTATTTTGTGATCTAATTTGATTGGATGATATTATTCATCAGTAATTCATTAGAAATCAGGTTATATTTAAAGAGGAAGAATGTATTTGTAAAATCTCAGTGAAAGAATTTGAGGTAAATCCAACATTTCACCTGGCAATCCGATCCAAGCTTTTTCAAGGAAAATATAATCAAACAACAAAATTATCGCTGAGATTTTACAAGTACATTCTTCCTCTTTTTGATGACTCACATTAACTCGGCGCCCAAGTGTTGTGAAACTATTCGTTCAAATTTGGACAAAAGTTCTTATTTACAGGTTATATTTATCTGATGAAGATTAATATTTTTAAGCTATAAAATATGTGCGTTAACTTCCTTCCTGAGTGCGTTAATGCATGATCTATCAGTTAATTTCGTTACTTACTTATTTATATAATTTAGTAGTATGCTTGTCCTAATAATTTGACATTCAATAAATACTTTTATTGGTTCACTATGAGTTAACTAATTAGCTATTTAATTTATTTCACTGGTTGAAATCATGAGTCAATTGAAGCTAGACCACCATGGAAAACCTGGAAGCACTGGACGACCGTTTCGTCCTGGTATGGGACTCCGTTGGATGCCGGCTCAGTGGTCTAATGGTTAAGTGCTCGCGCGCGAAACCTGGGTTCAAATCCCACGAGATCGTGGATGCGCACTGCTGAGGAGTCCCATACTAGGACGAAACGGCCATCCAGTGCTTCCAGGTTTTCCATGGTGGTCTAGCTTCAATTGACTCATGATTCCAACTAGTGAAATTTCTAAAAATCTCCACAAAAAAACCCATTCTATTAATATTTAATCTATGTTTAAGACATTTGGAATCGACTGACAAAATAATTTCATTTATGACAAGTCATAATGTTTAACAATTGAAATTTCAATGCGATATTCAATAGGATTGAGGTTAGCATTGAAATAATTTAAAATGATTTGATATAATTGAATTGATTCTGTATTCTATTTTTATAATGAATTTGCTGGCATCAACGTGATGATTGTTACTTTATTTGGCATAGATTTCTAGTAGTTACATTGAATTTCTCAGAAACTGGTTTCAAATAAAAAGGTATTGAAAATAGGTGGGTACTGAATAATTATTTTGCACTGGTATGAGATCACATAGCAGTGTGCATCCACAGCTCTCTCTCATGAATTTAAACGTCAACTTTAGACCTCAGAGTGAAAGTGTTACTGTTGGATCAATAATTTGCAAAATAGTGTTCAGAAAATTCCAATGAGGACGAGACATCTGTCTAGCTCATATACATTCTAACAGAATATTGGTAAGAATGAATTAGAGAGAATGGAAACAGAAATCAGAGGGTAATTTCAATAACAACGTAATTGACATCATGAAACGTGTAAGGGACAACTGAAGGAAAATGTACAAATAATGTATTTATTTTATGGTTTTCATATTTTAGGAAAGCACTGTTTACTTTTGCATTAAACAACAGATTGTTTATCCCCACCATTAGAATTAAATACTCTGACCAATCAATTGGACTATTTGCCTATTGTGAGCAAACTAAAAGTTCTACAGATCGTTTCGTTGAAATTTAAATATCCGGATGTGAACTTTATTTAAGAAAATTCTAGCTGACTAATCAAATGTTACTGTATCACATAAACTGATAAATAAAAGATATATTCTCGATGCTTTATCTATAGTTCTACTTTCATATCTGATTTTTAGTTGAATAGTCAGTGCATTATGACAGGTTATCATATTGGTGGTTTTCATGATTTTGTCAGTAACCAATCTGAAAAATTACAGTTTGATATATTCTTTCTTCAAATTGATTCATTTTAATAGCAGCTAAGTTTTATAACTATGAATGATTTCAAAATGTTAGTATTAAAACTGAATTAGTTATTCTTAGGGGTAATATTCACATTTTGAAACTTAAAGTTTTTCATTTTCATCCTGATAAAAGTCACTACTTTCTGTTGTCTAAGAAATCTTGAAGTTTCTGTAAATACCTATATAGAGATTCTGAATTTTCATTGATCTTTCAACTTGATTCGGATTTGTTGTTTGCCCGTCTTTCTAACATGTCAGTCATCACACTTTTGAACTGGATTATACTCCTTTTTTTTAAGTCTTTGTAATCAAATCAGTACATGAATACAGATAAGTTTAACAAGTGATTTTAATTAGAAATTGAGTGAAATCAGTTGAAGCTTGTTAATACAATCGCTTACACTTAGAATGTATTCAAATCATATTATTACTGAACATATAATTCCGAAATGATGAATAATTTATTCATGTTAGATTCATAAACTGTCTAT